GAAATGATACTGCAGAGTTAGACAGCTTACTCTTTAAAGGTGTTTTGCTCAATTTTTAAATAAAATGTCACTGTTTTAGTTCCTTGAACAGTTTAGAACCCATAACACATCCAGTAAATATTTCTTGATTGATAGATCAATTTTTTCGTATGCCATGAAATTTATTAAAAATAGCACAGTATGGATATACCTAGTGTAGTTTTTAATGCTTTATAGGAGCATATGATCAAAAGGTTTTTTCCAGCTCTCCAAATTCTGTGTCTTCCTTAGCCTTTGCTGTTGCATTTTGACAGTTTTTTGCCATTCAGTCTCCATCCACAAACCAGTGAGTTGGTAAGGGCAGATAATTTAACTCCCAGGACTGGAAATTAGAAGCTAAAATATAGGTTATAAGACTTGCTTGTGTTGCACATGTAATCAAAGGAGAAGCTGAGAAAAAACCGACTTCTTAACTCTGCTTTTGTCTGAATAGCACTGAATAAATGGGTAGCTCATTCATTGTTCCCACATCATACTTGAATTTTAACTTTCATGTGAAAAAGCATATGTGGACATTTGGCCCAATTAACTCATAAATTAGGATGAATTCTTGTTCATTTTCTTCTTGCTCAGAGTAATAAGTAGAAATTATATAGTTGAGGAGGAATGTTTTGAAAGGAAAGAAAAATGTAAGATGGTAGAATGTTTAGTTACCCAAATGTAAGTAGTCGGTTAAGCGTCTGCCTTCGGCTCCGGTCATGATCCCAGCGTACTGGGATCAGGCCCCACATTGGCTCCCTGCTCAGAGGGGAGCCTGCTTCTCCCCCTCCCTCTGCCTGCCGCTCTGCCTACTTGTGATCTCATCTTCTTGCAGGCATTTTACTTTTTGAAAATAATCACTTCTCATTTACTATCGGGAGGCTTTCTACCATAATATTTAACAAATGGTAAACACTTCCGAAGTTTATAATAAAAAATACTTGACTTTCTAGACTAGCTTAATGAGTAGTCTTGCCTGTCTCTTGTAAATGTCAAACTTACATAATTGAGTTTTGCTAGCTTCATAATATTGTTTATGGCATGACATGTTGTATATACACTGTTATTACAAACATTAAACAGATTTGTTAACAAGTGGCGGCAAAAGAACTATAATTCAATCTCTTTGTGAAATTCATTATGTGGAGGAGGAAAAATTGGACGTTTTCCTCCCTGTTAATTGACACATAGGACAACTTCATGCCCTGCTTTGATGCCTCTCATCATTAAAAAAAAGTCATATGGCAACAGAGGTATAATTCTGTGTCAATAAAAATTTACTTGCTCTGCATACTTCACATTAATTTTAAGCTCAAATATCATTATTTAAAAGTTAAGAAAGGGTAATAGTGATGTGAAATACTCTGCACCAAGAAGCTATGTGGCAAGAATCGTGTTAGGTAGTTTTTTGCAACATATTTTAGGAAGTGAATGGAATTAAAAAAAAATTTATTTGTAACTGGTTCTCACAGAGTATTACTATTTCTTGAATTTACTTATATAGTTTTTATGGGACCTAAATAATTATTTTAAAGCAAATCAGGAAAAAATATAATAGAATCCCTTTCCAAATCATGGCAAGTGAGCATGTTTTTGAAACTTTTTGTTCATTTTTACAGAGGAAGGAGGGTGGGAGGGAAATATAGATAGGTTGATCAGTCGTGTGCATATACAAGTACACCTTATAACCCAGTGCATAAATGTGTGTGAGCTATAGAGTCCAAAAGCAAACAAACCAAAAACCTACTAAGACATACACCCAAATTCAATTTTAAACCCAAAGCTCTTTTTAAAGACTTTATTATTATTAGTAGTAGTATTTTAATGTAATGAATTCTGACTTGGATGTTTTCAAAGGCATTTAATTTTTTCTAAATTGTGTTAATGACCACTGATAAGCTGTTGATAATTAATTTTGGTTGTAATAGTCTTTTTCAGGTTGTCATATACTAGATATGATAAAGAAAAAAAGTGGAATTCTTAACTTTTCTAATGTTATTTTAAATTACAAAATCTTAGCTGAATGTTGCATTTTAGTGCATCATTTTTCACCAGCTAGAAAGACAGATGGATAGTGTGCAGTTTAAAAATCTGTGCACATAGGAGGACAGATGGGTGGTTTAAATGTCTCCATGAAAATGTTTGTGTGGAGAGCTTGACTCCTGAAGTTACACTAAAAATTCCAAGTAATTAATTAGGAATAATAGAGTTCATATAAAAAGTAATATTTTTTAAAAAGTGACATAAAATAGGGAAATTAATTGAATTTACTACATAATTATAATTTTGAATTTATAATAAAAATTAACAAATTAGAACACAGTACGTAAATATTCTTGCCTGGTAAATGCTTGCCTTATTTTCTTCTTATCAACATGTAGACTCTAGAAAATTTCTTTATTACTTGGGATCAATTTGTCTGTGTAATTGTATATGACTTTTTGAACTCTTGTCAGAATTTGCCAAATTTTACTAACATATCCTTAAACTAGCTTAAAAATGAATGAAATTAAAAAAAGAACAACAACAAAAAAGGCCTCGAAAGGGCTGCTCTGGAGGCTTCCGAAGCAGGTGTTTGTGAACTTTTCTGTCTCATTCAGACATTAATGTGATTTGGCTTCTAACCAAAACATTGATTTCAGTTTGGTTGGATATGCACTTTGGCTCTTGGGTATTAGTTTCATATAGGAGTATAGTCCTGACTTGTGTGGATAGGGAAAAAAAGGGGTTGTTATTTTAGAGGGAGGCTCTGAGGCTGGCCATAGATGTGTCAACTGCATTGACACTCGGGGACATTTTTTGAAGGATGCCAAGTAGCAATATTTATCAATAAATAAATATAGTATTCTATGTAAAAAACTATTATAGTGATTGAACATGTAGGAGAATGTGTTCCTGAGAATCTTAAAAATCATTCATGGTTAGTATTATTGAAGTGATTTGTAATTGTGAAGTTAAAAAGATTATCCCTAGTACCATACAGGATGAGTAAAAATTTCTCTAGGGATTTGTATTAACTGAGGCAAAAAAATTTATTGGTTTTTCAATGAAGATTTAAAGAAATTGAAAATCAGATATAATAGAATTTTTTAAAATCACAGGGCATCATTCATAGTAAGGATAGTAAGGATGCCTTTCATGAGTTTATTTCAATTATATATATATTTAAAAATGGATATGGTTATTGGCTCATGACGTAAAATATATTATCCTGTGAGCTGTAGTCAAAAAGTGAGAAAATCTACTTCTGTAGTGGCTCATGTTATTTTTTTCTGATCCCTTCAGATCAGAACTGAATTAATATATTTACTCCCATCCTTCCAGTCTGGTATTAGAACCTGTTTCCAGACAGCAATGAGAAGGGTTAGAATAGATACTCTGGTGATTAAAATATTTTCTCCTTCAGAAGTTCTTTATGTTATAAAGCAAAATAGGTATCTAGGGCAGCAATTTGCAGATAACTTGGGTATTTAGTAATATCCCCATGTGCAGGAACCAGCTCATGGACTATGGCTAGAGAATTATGCTCTGTAAAATAATTATGTGCAGCTCCCTAGAAGTCAGTGGTGGTTCTAGCACTTGGAACACTAGAATTTGTAGGTGGCAGAGATCTACCAGTGTGCTGGAAAGATTGCCCAGCTGGTGAGCTACATGTGGTTCCTATGCCTGAGAATCAGAGGGGAGATGAGAAAGGCAAGGGAACTGTTCTTATTCTGTTGCTCTGCCCGTGCATATCTGAGGGTCTGCAGTCTCCCCTTTCCACAAAAACACTGAGTTTTTCTCCTTTGGCCCTGGGCTAGGGACATCCTACAACAGGGAATGCTTTTCCAACTCCTACCTATAGGGAATACTCAGATGGGTGCCAAGCTGAAACAGAGTGGCAGCAGAGGAGAGCCTGTGGTGTCAAAAATTCTCAAAAAAGATCAATTTTTGGGAAAAGATTCATTTGGAGGATTCTCCTTGGAAAAAGGACAAAAATTAATAAATATTTTGAAAAGTTTAATCCCTAAATCTAAATAATTGACAAGAAATGTTTGTTCAGTTTGCATCAAAAATTGAAGACCTGCTTAAAAATTTTATTTATAGAGTCATTTATGTTGTCAATCTGTAAATATTTTCTGAGTGATTTTAGTAAAGTCACCCCCAAAAGTTTTAGTTCATAATATTATTAATATCTTCTAGACTTCTCCCATATCAAGTTTAAATTTCTCTGCTTGATTTTCAAATCATTCACAACCTAAAATTGCCCTACCTCTATAGACATACTGCCTTTACTTCCTTAAAACTTATTCTCTTTGAGCTTATTTCTTTGCTTGCCTATGTAATTTTGCTTATTCTCTCCGTATTTCCCCTCACTATTCCAATTCACCAGACCAGGGGCTCTATGTTGAGGACTCGGTTTTGCTAGGTACTGAATTCCTAATGTTTAGCATAGTTCTGGTGGTGATCAGTTAATAAAATTCAGTGAATGAAAGGAAGAAAGGCAGAAAGGGAGGAATAATTGTCTGTTCTGCCTTTCTTATACCTGCCTGGACATGCCCCATGTTTGGTTTTTCTACAAAGCCTCCTCTGACTCCCCTTGTCTTTATTGATACCATAAATACAGACCTCAAAATTTAACATTATTTATAAACTTTCTTGTTTCTTTTGTTATACAGTCTGTGTGCATTGTTGTTCCAGTTCGGTGTGAGCTTCTTGAAAATGAGGATTATTTTTCTGTATAATTTCATAAAATATTATACATTAACTTACATTCACCAAACATTTACTGTAATTTATGCCTCCTTCATAGCAGCCTGTGTGCACAGTACTGGCAAGTAAGTAGTACTTTGCATAGAGCTGAGCATATAGTATATATTCAATAAAATTTTGTTGAGTATTCATAAAATATATGAGATATAAAATGGTGGTCGCTCAGTTTGCATATAGAGAAGATAGGGTTTCTTTATCTCTTTGTTAACGTTCTTCAATGTTTTCTTCAGGGAAAGAAACCGAAAAGGCCAAGGAACGATATGACAAAGCGACAATGAAACTTCATATGTTGCATAATCAGTATGTATTGGCATTGAAAGGGGCACAACTTCATCAGAATCAGTATTATGACACCACACTTCCTTTGCTTCTGGACTCCTTACAAAAGATGCAAGAAGAAATGATAAAAGCACTGTAAGTTACATTTTCTTTTTGGCATTTTAATTTAATTTAATTAATGTTATTTTCTCTCCTAGGTAAGCTTTTGGATAGAGGTTGTCTATGTTTTGTGAACTTCATTATTGACCCAGCCCAATGTGTATTTCAGATCTGTTTTACCTTGGTCCTTCTTGATTTTCACTTCTGGTGTCCATTCAGCTTATTATCATCTCTTAAATCCTCCAGCTAGCCCTAAGAATGGTTCTTCTTTTTGTATGTTTTTATTCTACTCCCATTAGCTGGAAATTTAGGTTAAAAAAATTCACTAGTTGACAAGCATTAAGAAGTGAATATCTATCTTTAGAGGGTTGTGTTTAAATATTGAGCAACTGAGAAGTCCAAAGGAAATAATTTTTTTAAGTTTTTAATTTTAATTCCAGTGTGTTATTAGTTTTAGGTATACAATGTAGTGAGTCAGCAATTCTATACATTACTCTGTGCCCATTGTGATAAGTGTATTCTTGATCCCCTTTATCTGTTTCACCCATCACCCTACCACCTCCTCTCAGGTAACCATCAGTTTGTTCTCTTAGAGTCTGTTTCTTAGTTTCTCTCTCGCTTTTTTCCTTTTGCTCGTTTTATTTGTTGTTGTTTCTTAAATTCTACACATGGGTGAAATCATATGGTATTTGTCTTTCTCTGATTGACTTACTTCACTTAGCATTAGAGAGTTCTAGCTCCATCAAAGGAAATCATTTTTTGAAGGTTTATCTGCCAGCTTTTATTGTGTGAGGTTAAAATCAACAAATGTTTATTGAAGTTCTCCTGTATGTAAAACACACTGCCTGTGATTTGGCCACAATTTTTGCCTTCAAGGAGCTAACAATATACTTTGGGCAGTATGTCAAAAGCACACATGTTTACCATAGACATCAGTACAAGACAACAGAAAAAGATAAGCCATGCTTTGGTAGACTTCATCTGCTTCATTAGCTGGTTTAGGTGATCTCCCATTTTCCCAGTAAAAAGATAATAAAGTGTTTTTAGTTGACCTGAATATGTAAACTTCTAATGGTATTGATAAAATATCTACCTAAAATATTTAATGTATAAATTTGTTTACATATACATTATTTTTTATTAATTTTTAAAGATTTATTTAGAGAGAGAGAGAGCATATGAGTACATGAGTGGGGAGGGGCAGGGGGGAGAGAGAGGAAGAGAGAGAGAGAGAATCTCAAGTAGATTCCCTGCTAAGCCCCACACAGGGCTCCATCTCAGGACCCTGAGATCATGACCTGAGCTGAAATCAAGAGTCAGATTTTTAATGGACTGAGCCACCCAGGCACCCCATAGTTATGTCTACTTTAAATTAAATATTGTTGATTCAGAAATACTTCCTTTCCTATTCTCATTTCATGAGTCATTATTTTTTCAAATTCTTCACATCAATCTTCAGTAATGGCATCTTCATCATCACTAGATGTCTTTTTGAGACATAGTAGTTTCCTGTAGCATATTATCTTTAACAATAAATTATTTTAGATCTAGCATTTAAAATATTCAAGCTTGATGATTTCACTGAAATTGAATTCCATGTCACATTCATTTAACAACATTAGGAGAATTCGTTTTTTAAAATTCCATTTGTCCTAAAGGTGGATATTAATAATCATCTCCACATCATATTATAGTATTGCTTTATGAGAGTTATCTAGATGGGGTCATTTACACTAATATCATTCAGTATTTTCAGGGATATTCAGATATTCAGAACCCCAGGGATATTTACTAAATCTGTTTTAAATTTCTCTGCCTTTCCCTTTTCTTTAAATTTTGTCAGGTGATTCCTGTAATCATTTCAAATTAGCATTGCCTGAAGCAGTTTAAATCTTTTTTTTTTTTTAACCCAAACAGTATTTGGCTTTTGGGAGAATAGTAAACAAGAGAGATTTTGTAAGTAATAGTTTTTTATGAGTAATGATTTTGGAAAAGAAGAGCAAACTATGCCTTATATTTATTTGGGAAAAGGCAAGATAAGCCTATCTGTCCACACTCATTGTTGAGGCCGCTTTTGACCAGTGGTATGTTTTGACAGCATAGCATTCTTAAGTTGGAGATCAGGTCTTTGCTACAGCATAGTTTTTTCTTTTTGTATTCATTAGATAAAGCTAATATGTTTTATGACATTTTTCCTGCTGACTGGAGGTCAGGAGAAGAGATCTAGATGTCACTGAAGGTATAGAACCAGTTGAACTCTATAATTAAGTATAGAGGAAAGAGCAGGGGCCCAGGAGCAAGAGAAAACCAAGAGGTAGGACGTTTGAGGAAGTAACAGCCAGAGAGAAACATTAAAGAGACGGGAATTGATCCACAGTTCCATGTGCTGGAATTGAACATTTCTATGTTCAGTCTTTAGAAATAGAAAGTGATCAACCTGACCTTACATTTTGGACATGTCAAATACATGTTGGAAAAGGTAATGTCTTATTCTAGATCATTTGCAACTATTATATCAAATGTAACTTGTTAATCTGTGCCTTTGTATAATCCCTTTACTGTCCAGGTATATGAAATAAGGTGGTGCATAAAATCACCATTTATAGATACTGGTATTACATTTCTTTCTTTTTTTTTTTTTTTATTTATTTATTTGAGAGAGAGAGAATGAGAGAGAGCGAGTACATGAGAGCGGGGAGGGTCAGAGGGAGAAGCAGACTCCCTGCTGAGCAGGGAGCCCGATGCGGGACTCCATCCAGGATCATGACCTGAGCCAAAGGCAGTCGCTTAACCAACTGAGCCACCCAGGCGCCCTACATTTCTTACATTTATTGTTCTGAATCCTTTTTCGGCCTGTGTTTCCCTTGAAAACTTAAAAATGTTGTAAAATTTTATTTTTGTTTTCAGAAAAGGTATATTTGATGAATACAGCCAGATAACCAGTCTTGTTACGGAAGAAATAGTGAATGTCCATAAAGAGATTCAAATGTCGGTTGAACAGATAGACCCTAGCACAGAATATAATAATTTCATAGATGTTCACAGGTATGTATATTTTCATTCTTCTTTTCATTATTTGTGACAGTATTATTTTTTTCTACCATATAGTATTTAGCTAAATTAAAATAAAATATTGAAGAGCTTGTTAGGACATACAGTATTACTGATTAATTTATCTGCTTTTAATTATTTTTAAAGTTCTTTCTCAGTGATAACTATTTAATTTATATAATTATTTTAAAAAATTTTTCAGTTGTTACTGTATCATTGCTTAAACCTGTATTTAATCCATGAAGTTATATATTTTTTCAACATTTGTATAATGATAATACTATGACTTTATATGTATATTAAATTTACGATGCATCAATTATTTATCCATGCATACTCATTAAAATTGTGACAGGAATAAAACAGGTTAATAGCCATATTCTACAAATGAAATTAAGGCTGAAATTATGTGACTAGATCTTGGTGCCTGGGGTTTAATTTGATTTATACTATTTATATTTACTTTATTTTGTGAACATAATTTTGGATAACAAATATTCTGCCTTTGGTGTATACTAAGATATATTATGATAGTATATTCATATTGATCAAAATTATTTGGCATGCTTTATTAGAACAACGGCTGCTAAAGAGCAAGAAATTGAGTTTGATACTTCCTTACTAGAAGAAAATGAAAATCTTCAGGCAAATGAAATTATGTGGAATAATTTAACAGCAGAAAGTTTACAAGTAATGTAAGTATTTAGAAAATCTGAACAGTTTAAATATTAGTGTTATTATTTATAGTTTTACTTTATCAGATTTAAAATTCCAATCTTTATTTTTTCCAAGTAATGAAAAGTTAATTAAAAATGAACTGATTGTTGTTTGGTCAGAAAGAAATGTTTTGAAAAATATATTAACTTTATTCATTGTGATCACTAATTTTGGTAATTATGAAAATCAAAATTCTGTGTGATGTTATAGTCACTTGCCCAGTTACTTATATTGGAATAATGGTTCATTCTTTTCAAAACTTACTTATTTATTTATTTCCCATTCAATACTCAAAACTTTCTGGCAGAACCATTTTGGAAATGAGAAGACTGAGTGGTAAAGAAGAAACTCATAGGTGTCAGAAGTGTTTAGTATAAAAATTTGACTTTTAATTGAATTCTTTTTAAGCAGGGATGCCTTCTGTTATATGCTTTTAAATAAATTAGTTCTTCATCTTGTTATTGTTGCCTAATATTTTAAAGGAGTTTTGAGAAATCTTAATGTGTTTTTAAGTCCTTTTCAAGTATTAGAGGCTATTAATAGTATATTTTTAAATTTAGAAAACATAGTTAATGGGGCGCCTGGGTGGCTCAGTCGGTTAAACATCTGCCGTCAGCTCAGATCATGATCCCAGAGTCTTGGGTTCGAGCCCCATGTGGGCTCCCTGCTGTGCGGGGCAAGGAGGGGGGCCTGCTTCTCCCTCTCCCCCTGCCTGCAGCTCCCCCTGCTTGTGCTCTTTCTATCCAATAAATAGATGAAATCTTTAAAAAAAAAAGAAAGAAAAGAAAACATAGTTAAGGCACTCTACTTTTAAATATTTAACTCAGGGGTCCCTGGGTGGCTCAGTTGGTTAAGCATCTGCGTTCAGCTGGGTCATGAGCCAAGGGTCTTGGGATCGAGCCCCATACTGGGCTCCCTGGTCAGTGGGGAGCTGCTTCTCCCTCTGCACTTCCCCCCCTTGTTTGTGCTCTCACACTCTTTCTCTTTCAAATAAATAGATATTTAACTCATCCCTTGATTTTTTTTTTTTAGGAGCAACACAAAGAAACATATTTATTAATAAGCACTGTATGTACTTGTCTTCTGGGTCAGAACCACAGCTAGGAATGATTATGCACTCATTTGTCTTCAATATTGGACACGTAGTATCATCTGACCTGTTGGCACTTTACCTCAAAAGACTCAGCCAAAAGTCCCTATCTAATATAATTTAACCATCTCCTTTCTATTGTTCATAATATTTTGGTGTTACAAATGATTAACTGAGTGGTAGGATCCTGCGACTAACTCTTGGAAAGGGGTTTGATAACTTTAAAGTTGGGCAGGTGGGATGGAAGAAACTAACAAATGCTTGTTGAGTCACCTGAACAAAATGAAGGCTTAAAAGTTACGGTGGATTGACTGTTGAATGGAAGGGAGGCATGGGAGTACACTGAATTAGGGAGGTTTTTCTAGCAACCATATTGGGATTCTTGAAGCTATTCCCAAGTTTTGAAGTTCTTCACAGGAGTCTCACTTTGGATTTAGATATACACTTATAATGTTAGCTATCTTTAAACCAGTGGTCCTCACCCTGGGTGATTTTTGTCCCCAGGGAACATTTGACAATATCTGGAGACATTTTTGTTTGTCAGGTGGGAAGGTACTGCTGGTAACTAGTGGGTAGAGGCCATGGATGCTGCTAAATATCCTACAGTGCATAGGACAGCCGCCTACAACAAAGAATTATCTGGTGAAAATGTTAATAGTGCCAAGGTTGAGAAACTCTGCTGTGAACAACAGAATTGGATTTATGGCACAAAATGGATAGTAGAGTTTCTCAATTCTTGTGCAGTGACAAATTTCATTTTTTGATTCCTGTGCTGCTTGGGGAAGGAATATGGCATAAATTACTCCTGTTTTTCTGATCATTGTATTGGTCCCAAGTAATTTATTCATTTAATCATCAGAATATATTTACTGTATATTTAAGGTTGCAAGGGTTAATACCTCCAAGGTATTTATGCTAAAATCCATCAATTTATTTTAATAAACACCAAGAAAGAATGAGCATAGAAATATTGGAGTATAATATGGTAAAATTAAAAATAGCTACCTGTTAAAAGCTTATGTAAAATAAGAGATTTTGTGACCAAAGAATAATTTGTCTTATTGCTTTTCAGGGTATAATGAGAACAACACTAGTTATGCGCATAAATCATTATTTCTTAATTATGGTGATGAAGCAATGAAAAAATGTAATAAATTAAGGATAATAAATCTTTGATAATGTGATAGAATATTTAATGGCTTACATCTTACTGAGGCAAAACTTTAGCTACATTTCACTGAACAGTGTCTAAATCAGGATAGGAGTTTAAGAGCAGGTTTCCCTTGAGAATTTTATTCCAAGAATGAATTATACAGTGTGTTTATTGGCACTGTTAAAATAATCTAAGATAATTCCATTAAAAAATTTTATATATACACACGTATGTATATATTTAATATGATACAAAGTCTTGCTTTCCTTTTACCATAATATTAGTGCTTTAAAGTTAAACTAATTTCTTTCTTAACTTATCAATTTTGTTGTTGAATGTGCTGAAACATTATATCCAATAGAAATGAATTAAACAAATGAACAGATAGATAGCTTTGGAAAAATAAATACAAATGACCAATAGTCCTGTAACAATAAAGAAATATCCATTTTTAAAAAGGAAGTTATTCCACCTACCAGATTGGCAAGAATGAAATAATTTGATAATACCCACTGTTATGGAGGGTATGGAGAAATAAGCCCTCTTATAAAGTCTTGGCAGAAAGGTAAATTAGTGTAAGCTTTTTGGAGGATAATTTTGCAACATACATCAAAGTTGTACTTGCTCATACACTTTGAGTTGAAATTTTACTTGTAGAACTTTAGCCTATAGGTAAGCAAAGATCTATGTACAAGTGTAAGTAACATGGTGGATTGCCCGCTTCTGAATCCTCACAGTATGACATTACCTCTGTGAAACTGGACGGATTACTTAGTCCCTTTATATGTCATTTTCCTCAAAAATAAAATGGTAATAATAATGGCCCCTAACTCATAGTGTTGTTGTAAAGCTTACATGCATGAATAAATGTAGAATACTTAGAATAGTATTCTAAGCACATAGCAAGTTCTGGGTGTTGGTTTTGTTGTTTTTTTTAATTACTGCTTGGGGTGGACTCCAAGTGCAATGCTTAGTTTTTCATGGGCTTTTGGAAATACTTGAGGTCTGAAAACTTTTTGTTTGTTCCTAAATATGAAAAGAAAATTATGTTACAAGCTGTATTATGTCACTTTCATTAATTATTAAATTTGGTAAAAACAAAAATATTTCAAAATTCATAAGTTAGTTTTTTTTCTTTTAGTTAACATACAGTGTTATATTAGTTTCAGGTGTACAGTATAGATTTTAATATCTGCATATGAATGTGGATTTCTGAGAAACCACATTTTAATATATATGATACTAATTTCGATAGAGGCCAAGGACTAAAAAGGTCTTAAAACAGTCCTTTTGTTTTGGCAAAATACTGGAAACACCCTAAATATTCATCTATGAGGGGTTTGTTAAATTATGGTATATCCTTACTATATCCACAATTTTTCTAGATTATACAGGTTTTACTCTATTTTAAATAGAGTAAAGGTAGGTTTATATATGCTTTTATGGAAAGATCTTCAAAGTATACAATAAAAGGCAAAAGCAAGTTATACAGTAATATTTATGGAATGAGTCTATTAATAAAATAGTACATATATATGTTTGTATACATGTAGATCATATGTCAGAATGGAGGTGAATGGATGAGGTGAGTAGGGAAGCTTTTTGGGGCCAATGTTTATAATAATGTTAAATAAATGTGGTTTTATTTCTCTCATCTTTGCAGTTTTATTGTAGCATGACTCTCTCCAGAATATTAGCTATTTGTTTTTCTTCCCATTGTGTTACTTCCTGTCCTTTCACTAAACATTTGTTCCCCAATCACGTTGCTCTATATAGTTTTAGAATAGAACACTCTCAAAAGTGTTCTTTGAAAATGCCAATGTTTTATGGCCTGTGCTTCCCCATGTTCTACGTTTTTCCTGAGCCCATTTAAGAGCTGTAATAAGAAATAGTATAGGAAAACTTCAAAACTGTTTGTTTGTTTTGCATTCCTTTATGTTTGTTTCAGTGATCTGGTGACCCTGTCCTTTGTGAAAGGGTACCTTAGTTTGGAAGTGAGAATCATTAGTATTTGACTCCTGGAGAATTCTTCTAATTATGCAAGTCATACTGGCAGTCTGCCAGACTGCTGATTCATAGTGACTGTGAAACAGAGGAAAAACTGGACTACATTTCTCTTGGACTCTTCAGAATTTTTGGCTAAATGTCAGATGTTACAGATGATTAATTAACATCTTTGTTGAATGAGCAAGTGAATGAAGAGGGTTTTCTGGAGAGATTTCAGGGAGTTTTTGAATAGTAGATGTCATCATCTCTGGCTTTATGTTAGGATCAGTAAAGAAGCTTTAAAAAATGCTGATGTCTGGGGCGCCTGGGTGGCTCAGTTGGTTAAGCGACTGCCTTCGGCTCAGGTCATGATCCTGGAGTCCCGGGATCGAGTCCCGCATCGGGCTCCCTGCTCGGCAGGGAGTCTGCTTCTCCCTCTGACCCTCCGCCTCTCATGTACTTGCTCTCTCTCATTCTCTCTCTCTCAAATAGATAAATAAAATCTTTAAAAAAAAAAAAATGCTGATGTCTGGGACCTAACCCAAACCAATTGAATCAAGTTTTGTGAGGGCACGGTCTAGGCATGGGGATTTTTTGTAAACTTTCCAGGTGACTTTATCGTGTGGACAGGATTGAAAATCTGTACCATAAACCCAGTAAAATTGTGTGTAGAAATGTATGTGTTACTTTCTGGTGGCAGGTTCCTGCAAATTTTCAGAGGACTTCGACCCAAAATGGCTAAAGACTGC